ATTCTAGTTGCGCAATTATCGAAAATGATTCTTGTATTTCATGGACATTCATCAGTAACGTGGCTGGCGGCACCGGCCTAACCCTAAAACCTGAAGCCCGAACAAGTCGGCCCCCCATCCCATCCGCTAAAACCGACCGTCAATCGGGTGACTTTATGGCGACAACATAAAACTGAGAAACGAACCCCGAGAACCCAGAAATCAAAAAAAACACGAACCCTCCTTAAAAGGTCGAACGCCTACCTAGACCCCCCAACACCCTTTATCGTAGCCCCTAATCACCTCTTAATGAGAAATATTAGAGCCCGTCTAAGGGTGCTTGCGGGGTCCTGGTATTGTTGAGGGTTTACGGTTTAATAGTCGAGAATCCGAACCATCTACAATAGGTGCCTACAGCACAAACCCTACAATGTACCCTACAACCGCCAAACCCTATCTAGCACCCTAACACCTTCCTAAAACCCCTAGCCATAAAGCCCAAAGCCATAAGCCGTAAATGGACCCTCAAACCCTAAAAACCCTGAACCGCAAGCACTGAACACTATAGGCCCTAACCGGCCTCAAGCTGAAGTAACACCCTAAACCCTTAATCAACAATCAATCCCTACACAACCCTCATAGATCCCACGCAGAACTCTACAACATCCTGCGAACAGCGCTACACAGTACACACCAATGCCGAACATCGCAGCTTCTGTAGGTTGGCCTCCACATGAGCAGCAGCGGTTCCCACCGCTACGAGTGCCTGCAGGGAGCATCGGGAAGAGGGGGATTTGGGGGTTTGAAGTGTTCAGATTTGGGGTTTCCGCTGTGTTATTTACCCATAGGCTCCATTGTAGTTCCTTTTTGTGATGACCTTATAGGCTTCTAAATATCCATTGTAGTTCCTTTTGGGGATTACCTTATAGGATTCTAAATATCCGTTGTAGTTCCTTTTTGGGACTACCTTATAGGATTCTAAATATAACCATAAACCACAAAAAGCAACTAAAATAGAGCCTATGGGTAATTACCATGGCATGTCATCCTCAGCCCCAAAAAAGCCAAAACCATCCTTAATCCTAGGTGTAGCTTCCAAACAACACGGGACCCGAACAAAGATGCAGAATGGTTCAATGAATCATTGTGCGGACCCCTGAATGCTTGGAAAGTCTCTGCAACCCCCCTTGAAAAAAACACATCGTAAATCGCTGAAAATGATTCAAAATCCTAAAACACCACAAGCCCCCAAACCCTAAACCCAAACCCTACAAACCCCCAACCCTAGAAACCCCTAAAAACCCCTGGAAACCAATTACACCCTTAACCTCATAAACCCTTCAACAAAGTTGACCGCTCATGTCAGGAAACGTACACAAGCCTCATCGGACCCTATGATACCTAAATAGAGGCACCCTGAAACTTTAATTCTCAACCCTAAACCCTAAACCCTAAATCCCTAAATCCCTAAAACCCTAAAACCCTAAACCCTAAAGCCCTAAACCCCGAAACCCTAAAACCCTAAACTTCCTAAACCCTAAGAATCGGAAGCCGGGGGCCTCTAGGAGCTGGTCGAAACGGAGATCATAGGATCGGACCTGCCAGTCGAGGATTCAAAGCTTCGGAGTTTGGGGCTCAGGGTTTGGGGTTTAGGGTTTAGGGTTTAGGGTTTAGGGTTTAGAGTTTAGGGCTTAGGGTTTAGGGTTTAGAGTTTAGGGTTTAGAGTTTAGAGCTTAAGGCATAGGGCTTTGGGTTTAGGGTTTTTTGTTTTGAGTTTGAGGCTTAGGGCTTAGGCTTTAGAGCTTGGAGCTTAGAGCGTAGGGCTTAGGGTTAGGGTTTAGGGTTTAGAGTTTAGGGCTTAGGGTTTTAGGGTGTAGCTTGGTTCAGCAAGTAGAGTAGGAGTTTAGGTTTCGCATCTTAGGGATTAGTAAAGATTTAATTTAATGGTTTATCGAGTCTTTATGGTCTCTTGACGACTTCCCAGAGGTGTTTCGGATTTTGTAGGGGTCTTCAAAGCTTTCGATAAGTTATGGTCTTATAGACCAATTAAGGTCACAAACGTCCTAAGGCTTACTGAACCTTGCACCATTTCAAGACCCTAAATCCTAAACACCTTAACCCTAAACCCAAACCCTGACGCGACCCCGTGAAAACCCAAAGCTCCTAGCCCCTCTGCCGCATACGCCTGCCTCCAACTGCCGGCCGAGGTCTGCCATGCGGCTACACTGGCTAGCCTGGGTTAAGGTTTCGGGTTTAGGGTGTGGGGTTTGGGGTTGAGGGTTTCGGGTGTAGGTTTCAGGGTTTCGGGTTTAGGGCTGGCTTCTGGATGGGGCTTAGGGTTTTGATGGGGTTTGATTCTCGGCTTTTGAGAGACCTCTTCCTCGTGGGGGTGTCGGAGGTAGGATTTGAATTTTGGGTCGGGGCTGGAGGCGTCCGTGCGGAATCCTAACCCTAAACCCTAAACCCTAAAACCCTAAAGCCCTAAACCCCAAACCCTTGTCTCTCTAAACAAGCTCAACCCTAATCCCAAAGCTGTACCCGAAGCCCCCGGAAGCCGCGAAGCACCCGGAAACACCAAAAAGCCCTTGAAACCGTCCCTGGAAGATTTCTTATATAAGGGATCCTTCAAGGGCCCCGCGACCGTAAACCCTGAACCCTAAACCCTAAAACCCGAAACCCTGAACCCTGAAAAGGATCCTTCAAGGAAGGGGATCCGAAAAGTATGTACTCACCAAGGCTTCCTCTCAAGACTCCTCTAAGGGAGCTCTCCCAAACCCAGAATCTCCCAAACCCCGTTTATGGTTTAGGGGCTTAAGGCTTTCGGGATTTAGGGGTTTAGGGTTT